AATCTGAAAGTCACGAGTTCGAGTCCATATTGGGTCACCTTTTTTTAATTATGAATATGTTTGGTGGAATATTCCAGGAATATTCATTTAATAATATTCCTGTAATATCCCTGGAGTATTCCGAATATCAACTGAATATTTCTAGAATTTTATAGGTACATTCTGAATATATAGGGAATATTTCTTGAGAAAATTCTAGGAATATATACATTCTCATTCAGGAAATATTCCGTAGAAGATATGTATATCCCTAGCATGTCCATGAAAATTCTCAATATCCAAAAATGATATTCAATGAATATTCATGGAATATCTGGTGCTGTCTGAAGTGGGCGTGTGCATAGATAGACCTTAGTGCAATCAAGGCCTCTTCAGTAGGGCGCATTGTGCGCCCACTCATGGCTTGTGAATCAGCTGGGCATGCCAATTTCTTTGACGAAATTCAGCAGCTTTCTTAGCTGAATCACATTCACATCCTTTGAGTGCAATACAATGCTCCCAAAGGCAGCTTCCTTCTGAAGCACCAGCGCGGCGCATGAGGTTTCTTCTTCCTCATATCTGCAGATAGGAGCATGTTTGATACCTATGAGCTCCAGGTGACTTCTGATTGTGCCCAGTTAAGAGCCCAACTACCATCTTGGGATCTCTTCTGTTATGACAGGACCTCTCTTGTGAGCGTTTTTGAGGGTTCCTTTGCATGGAGCTTGCATCATTTGTGGAGTATACATGCGTTCCCGCTAATGAAATTGAAATTCCAAGTCATGTAAGTGCCTTCTGACCAACTGCAATATCATATTCGTGTAGATCATCTGTTCGTGTGCCGCGCTCTATGCTGTGGAGTGTTGAGTTCTTGATCTGTTACTGTTCTCATAACAGTACATGATTGTTGACATATACATTATTCTTTTCCACGTCCGATGATACTCGAAGTGGGGGAAAGTGACGTTCAATGAGTATGGAAGTTAAATCAAATTTCACTCTTTCATCTTCATCACTGAAGAAAAAAATAGTCAACCAGAGTGCATAATCCTGGAAAGTATACCCGGTATCTAGTGTCTCGAAATTTGTCGTCAACCTCACCCTTTTGTGATTTCTGGATTCATCATAGCCATGAAATGAATGTTTCAGATACATGCGTTTTTGTCTTTTCAGAGAATAATATACAAGGTGGCCCTTTGAAAACGAAACAGATATGCTCTGTAAGTCGCCAAAACCGGATAATGAAAACAATCTGAAACATGTCAACTACATTTTCGAGAGGGACATCGTTCAAAATTATTCACAGCCCTGCGGCGTTGCCGCTTCTAACGAAAAGTAGCAACAACTTTGATATTTCAAATGGAACACCCTGCATTTTATTGCATTTTCAGATTCCCCACAAATAGCTTATTTCATCAATCCATCACACTTGAGATCTAGCGGCAATGATTACAGAGCTATAGGGTGTTCAAAATCGAGATATTCCAACTTCAGGATTTTTTTGTGTCCAAACTATTCATCATTGGTCAAAGCGGCTTACATGACCCTATTCTGAAATTCGATTCACCATCTACTGACATTTAATTGAAACAAATACAGGGTGGTTCAAGATTCAGAATTCTGATCACAATATATCTGTTCCAATTGAATGTCAGTCGATAATTTATCAAAAGTTGGGATAGGGATATGGAAGCCGTTTTGACCAATAATGATTAGTTTCGACACAAACAAATGCTAAAGTTGAAAAATCTCGATTTTGAACACCCTATAGCTCTGTAATCATTGCTGCTAGAACTCAAGTGTGATGGATTGATGAAATTAGCTCTTTGATGAAAACCTAGAATACAATGAAATACAGGGTGTTCCATTTGAAATAACAAAATTGTTGCTACTTCTCGTTAGAAGCGGCAACGCCGCAGAGCAGAACGATGTCTTCCTCGAGAATGTAGTTGCCGTGGTTCAGATTTTTCTTATCATCTGGCGACCTACAGAGCTTTCGTTTCGTTTTCAAAGGGCAACCCTGTATGTATTTTTTCATCGTACATAATGACAGGTGAATAATTTACTAATGAAAAGTGAATAAGTCACGGATGACAAGTGAATAAGTCACTAATGACATGTGATCAGGTCACTAATGACAAGTGAACAAGCCACTAATCACGAGTGAATAAGTCACTAATGACAAGTGAATAAGTCACTAATGACAAGTGCTTTGTTACTAATAACATAAAGGTAATCAATCTGAACTTCAATGGAACAAGTTAATAGATGTACATTCTCAAGAACTCACATATTCTTGTGGTTATCAACTTGTTTCCTTGTCTCAAATAGTATAAAAGTTTCCACTCGCCACTATTAAATATGACCTTAGGGTTAGGGATTTTTTTCTCCGTGTTCGATTGTCTCATTCCTGGTGTTCCCCGCCGTGTTTCAAGGAACTGCCACTGTAGCATTTTCTTCACGAAGGACACAGCTATGCCATTGGGTATTCCTAGTGTATCGATTCTGGTTCAATGGGTGTCGTTTCTGAAGCAAGCTTAGCTATAATCTGTCTGCCTCCTCGTTCAGTGGGATACCCGAGTGTCCTTGGAACCCACACTAGGCTGACTTCTCTAGTTTTTGCCATATTTCCCAAGGCACTTCTACACTCGGAAACCAATTTAGTTGTAATCCTATGGGATCTCAATAAAAGCAACTTTGCTGTCCGAGCATATGGTAATTGGTCCACATCCACTTATACGAAAATTCTCAGATTTGCAAACACTTTGGCCTGGAACGCCGAGTCGTATTTGCCAAGAGGTACTGATATTCCTTTCGGTGTTCCTCCTTCATAAAAACCTACACCGGACTGGCCATCAAACTTTGAGCGATCCTCTAACCAAGTTGACCCGTTAGCAATCCATTCCTCTCTTGGAAGATATGCAATTATCACTTTGCTACTGACATTTTCATGATAACGATTCATTTACTTTACACGTTTTTTTATGTGGTCCAGATTCGTAAGTATGTTTCCATAATTGGTTTTGATTCTGGAATTGGGTGGTAAGAAATCCGCTACATGCTGTTATTTTTCGCAGTTCATCAGGCAGCGTCATCGCTTGTAATTCTGAATCTGGTGGTGGTGAACTCCACTGTATATTTCTTGATATCATTGATGACACAAATATTATCTTCCAGAAAAATGATGAATTCTGCAAAACTTAAACTTCATACACAAGTTAAAAAACTTTCCGGATTTTCGCCATATATTATGTCAATCTTTCGTCAACTCTCCAACTGAAATTTACATGGGTAAAAATCAGAAACCATCGCAATTTGAAAATCACTTCAAGTACATGCAGATACATGAATATAGTATAAAACTCCCGTTCCAGAGGGTCATCCAAATATTGGTCCGCATTTCGGACATTCAATATTACCTCCCTTTTAGTACACTATTACAATAGAAATACATGTTAAGAGACACACACAAGGGACATGGATATACATAATTCATCATAATCATAATGCATCACAAGAATAATACATATTAGCTTAGAATTTTCTGAACTTCCAAAAGTAAATGGATTGAAAATTAGGTGGGTCGATCAGGTCGTATAGCCTAGCAAATATGGAAAAGACTGGTAATAAGAGGTTGATTTGGACTCGACTTGAGACAAGTTTTGCTTCAGGAAAGATGAAAAATGGTCTACTTGGTCGGGGTCACGTGACTCTTGTTACAAGATGAAAGTTAATTTTTTTAATTAATCTCCGAAAATTAGCTACTTCTTTTCATTACAAAAATGTTTACTGATAGGAGTTGTTATTATTTTGTAATTTCTCCAATGTCTATACGGGATTTTTGTTATGAAAAAACAATATTGTGACTTCGACAAAACTGTCCTAAACTTGAGTCAGATACGTGAAGTAATTTGATGACATTTTGATCGATGACTTTGACATCATTTCAGCAATAAGAAAATGTGCTCCGAAAAATTAACTCTGCATCAAACATAATGGAAATATTATTATGAATCATGATTTTCTGAAGAAAATAATATTTTTGTCGATAATCAATAATTGGAAGTGAGTCGTATTATGAGGCTTCTGGTTTTAAAGCTTGTCGAAGCTTTTTTTTCAAATTACAGAAATTTCTTTGAAAATAAAAGTATAATAAAATCTGTTGCAAGAGAACGTTCAAATTTTACTATGTGTGAAATTTACTGTTATTTCACATGAGTCCACGAGTGTTTTGGAGAATAAAGAGAAAACATCAATCACCTAACAAAATCGGTCTCCACGTTGGGCGCCAAATTAATGATACAAACTTTACTGATTTTTGTTTCATTGCCTAAAATAAAATTCAGAAAAGCAAGTTTCACAATTTTGCTCTGGCAGCTCTTGTGTCTGGTGAACAAATGGCTTGTGTTCAGATTTTGTTAGGTGGCCCTGTGAGCGCCACTAAGTTTATATAAAGAGTGAAAACTTAGAAATTATGTATCAGATGGTAAAGTTAACAAATTGCTGTACCTGTAATATAAATTGTAGAATAAAAACACAACTTGTGGTCTCATGTGGAATTCAATTGAGATGTTGTACTGAAAAATTCACAAAGTTCTAAAAATGCACCAATCTAACCTGAAAATATCCCTGCATGTGCATATCTTTTCAACTTGAAAGTTAAATACATAATATTGAAAATCTTCAATTCAAATATGCTTCATACCCTACTAATATACCCCTAATTCCAACATGGGCCATATGGAAGCTTTACATAGCTCCTTCTCTTCAAAAATATATATTAATAAGGTGAGAAAAAGATATATAAGACTGCATGAAACAAAATCACATCTACTGGTGGTGACCTTTCTGGAAGTTTCTTAATGGAAAATTCTTACTTGTTCGTAGTGGTAACCAAAATGGGTTACAGGTGATTACCCACACGGTGTGGGGTCTAGTGGCTCAGGAAGTGGGGCCTAGTGGCTCAGGACCCAAGTAGAGGTCGACATACTGCCTTTCAGGTGGGTGTCCCCTGCAGATACCCAAAACTGGACAAGACACAGCTGCTTGGGATGTAGTCCTGGACCTGGTCGACTGTTGAAGCCAGCAGTGTCCCTGCCTCCAAGAAGACTAGGCTTACAAGATGGTTGAAGGGAACAAGAGCCCCCGAAGAAAATCTTTCTGCTATTTCCAGGTGGAGCCTGGAGCCCTGCAGCTAAACTGGCCTGGACTGCTGGTTGAATTGAAAGAATCAACTCGGCTTTCTTGATTGGATCAACTACCGGCGTGGTCAATGGCGACCCCCATAAAAGCCTCTCTCGAAAACAGGCCTCTTCAGAGAGAAAGATTCACGTTCAATACAGGAAAAGTTTTCTAAGATGCAAATGAGCCCTAATACCACTTGAACTTCCCAAAATGAAATGGTTCATTTTCGTCGACGATCCGGGACGAACGGCTCGCAAGAAATGATGGCTGATGGCAGCGGACTCAGCCGGAAGGTGTATACCTCTCTTCTCAGAGGACACAAAACCATATAAAAAAAACTAAAATTCCACCTATACAAACATTATTATGGATTCTGCACACCTGTGGAATGGACATGAAAGACACATTTCCTGTAAATCCTGTATCATGTGACTGCTCCCAGATTCCTGATTGGCTGAAGAACTTGACGACTTTTGGACAACCAATCCTACCAGCATAGAAACTTTCGAATTCTAGCGGGAAACAATAAATTGATTTTTCTGACCCTCAAACGACGACACAAATCTACTGGAGTTCGGGTACTAGAACGGAACTATTGGAAGCATGAACCTGAATTCGGCTTCGTCTTTCTTCATCCAAAATCGATACAAGGCCATTATCTCAAAGTGACAAAATTTCCAAAGGAGAAAAAGGTGAAACTACTGTAGGGAGACAACACATGTGTCAGATTCACCATTGACATCAGTGACATCATTGCAACATAACCTATCAAGGAAAATCTTGAAATTCCCATTTTTATCAGGAAATATTTATTTTTGAACCTATAATTAACGAGGTATGTATCAAATAGGCATTCCAGAACCCGTGACCTAAAAATGGCCGCTGTACCTGCCCCGTTTCCGTCCGTACTTCAAACGTCAAAAATTTACTTCCTCTTCCCCTAAATTGCGAGTTTTAAGGTTATGATCGTCACTGATTTTGTTTTGATTTTTTGATATTGTCGTTCTCATCATGAATAAAGTGAATATTTATTGTAATTAGAAATTTCTGGTGGTCATAATATAGAGCGATACAAAGAGAAACTCAAAGTCAGTGATTCTATTGATCCCTATTCTCTGCAGAATAATGGAAACCCAGGCTCCGATGTTTCCTGGAGTCACTTTAATAGATTATCCTAGTTTTTATACTGCAGAGCAAACGAAAGCTCATGAAAGTTTGAGTGGGTATACATTTTCTGAGGCATGTTTTGTACAAATACCTATGTGGAGTGAAGAAAATCAGTGGCATATGTTTGTTGTTCTAGGCAGTCATACTATGAGTGGATAATTGGATAGTACCTGTTAAATATTCAATATTTTTGTAGGTGAAACATTTTCAAATGATGATTTTAACCTCACTAGAAGTCTGGGTATTGTGTAAAAGTGATCAAGGAATAAATAAGAGCCATTACACCTGCATGGCTGGGCTGTCAGCAGATTGTAGTCATTTTGTTGCTTGTCTCTATAGCTTAACATGTATTCACAACTGCAGAACTGCCAAGTCTAGTACCCATTTTCTGGCAAAATGGATGAAACCTAAACCTTCTAATGTTCCTCTTGCCAGTCTTAAAAATCTGAGAGAAAATCACACTAAAGTTAGAATATATTCAACCTATAGAAGGCAACAGCTCTCAGAAATATTGGAATCTTCAAGAGAAATTGACCTAGCAAATATCTGATATCCCTGCCATGCATAAGCAATTAATCATATTAATTCCTCAATAATTTTCACACAAAACAGGCATATTATAGTGAGTGTAGGTACTTTCCTCCTTTGATACCCTTTTACTTACAAGGACAACACCAATGCATATCACTGATTCCCTCCACTTTACCTATTTGTGCAAATCCTGTTTGAAAAATTTGTATCAGACTCTTGTAAGCTCTGATCTGCAAGGATTTAAACTATCATGATTCAACTCTAAATATCTAAAAATGTATACTGACCATAGTAACTCCAGAAAATATTTTGATGTTAGTCTTGCTCTGCAATATCACTACTGGAAATTTATGTCAAAAATATTCACTTTATTCTTAACTACTAGACAAATATGAAAATTCACAAATAAGATATTGACACAATTTCCCCAAATACCTACACTATTGATGAAATCAATTATTCTTCAATTAAAAATTAAGCTATATTATAAATAGTTTCTTTCAACCTTATAATTCATTAAAACACTACATATTCATGCTTCATGATTTTATTCATCTTAACTATAGTTTTCTCAAACACATTTCAATGTAATACCTGTAATAATAATTATATAGTCAACAGAATGTGTTTCCAGAAAGTCCACCAAGTCATTTTTGTGAATTATCTTGAACATTCCAATGTCTTGTTAAAGTTTGCTGTATTGACCAACAATTCATTGAAAAACAGATCAACCTTGTTCATCAATAATTCTTCTTGAATTTTCAATTTAGAAATTTTGACAATCATCACAGTTCAAAGTATCTATAGATATCATCATCACACAAAATACTTATTAATAATTACAAACATTTGCTATCATAATGAGTACCTATCATTCATACACAAAATATTTATCACATTAACTCAATATAACATAGTAATTAAGATTTTTTTAAACAATACTCATCAGTCTTATCACAAGGAATATTTTTATCAACGATTATGAATTAACATATGAATCCACTGTTCATTGATGTTTCATGAAAAGTTCGTGAAAATTGACCAACCAAAAGTGTTGGCACAAAGAAAAATGTTGTACAACAATAAAATAAATTTCAATCTTGTTCATTTGTGTTTTTGAAAAAAAAACTGAGTATTTCTTCTCCTGTGTTCCCAAATATCTACTACTTATCATGATTTAGTTTTGTTCAAAATTCAAAAACAGGCATATCTAAATAGCAATTTTGCAAATGTAATCTTATCATTATTTACTCTGAAATGGTGACTTCAACATAGAATATTGTATCTTTTTTTTTAAATCATGATTAGCAGTTTGAATTCACTATTTTCTCCAGGCTGAAAATAAAAAAAATTGAGCCAATCCTGTCAATTTGAAATGTGGTGATTTTTTGCACAATATAGAGGTTTGGAAGCATGAGGAACAATATGAATATCCTGTACTTCAGTTTCATTGCACCAATAATTCACTCCACATGAATTCTCACATTGGCATCAGTAGCTCTAGTTCCCACAATCTCAGTAGGATGTAATTGTTTCTTTCCTTTTGTAAAAGCTTGAATCTTCACTTAATTTAAAATTTGTACATAGTCACCAACCAAAAAGCCATGGTCACCTAAAATCAAATCACCTAAAATTAGTTTTTCCATACATATAAAAGATTTCCAGCTTCTAGTCAATAAAACTAATTTAAAAAGTATATTCTCTCAGTAATTCTGGATTTAATAAAGATTGGTATCAATTATATTCAATTGATCTTGTACAGAAACTCACCTGGAATGAATAATTTTGAATTGATTGTTATGGGATGATCAGATGCTCTTTCTCCACAAGCCTCACTGATCAAACACACTGTTTCTTGTGGGGAGAATCCAATCAAATTATAATTAGATCAGCACTAGGCTGACAGCTGTGATATTTGTTTGTGAATATTTATCACATTCAGGAACTATACTAAGGTTCTCATCTTGAAAATCTGATGATCCTACAGCCTGTTCATTAGATGGCCCTGCAGCCTCAGCTTGGCATTCTGATGTTTCCATATCATTGATAGTTTCCTTAGATTGGTTGTCAGAGGCTAAGCTATCATATCCCAAAAATAAACTGGTTAGGATTATTAACATCTGATAGATATGCAGGTTTTCCTAAAATTTCCATTATACCTATTATATTTACTACTATTCATTACCTGTTTCAGTGAACTCACCAAGTAGGTAGGAAATGTTTGCTGCAAACTCTCAACATTTTGAGTTTCTGCTCCATCAAACCATTTCTATTTATCCACTTGTCTCTTCTTTTGATAATTCATTGTTCCAATTTATGATTTATGTCTAAATTTCAAGACACTCAGGATTCGATGAAACTTCATGCTATCACGATATTACCAACTCTTACAATTGATTATTCCACAATAAAACATTGTTATAACACAAACACCAAGCAAAACCTATCCAAATAGTGTCCAGAATACACCACAGGAATACACATCAACTATTCAATAATTTTCATAAAGATGATGCAATCCTAATGAAACTAAGTATATAAAGTTTAATTATCAACTAAAGAAGCGAAGAAAGCAGCATTTAACACATTTTAAATTCAATTGAAAATATGGTTAAAAAAGTCACGGAATGTGAATTTGTTTGGGTACAGCAACCATCTTGAATCTGATTTTGACAGCATTCCGAAATACCTAATAGGTAACTTAGCATGTTATTTATTTACTTTGAAAGTTTTTGAGCTGAAATGTTTCAACTATACTTCGACCTCAATTTGATTAATTTGTTGAATTCTTTCATTTATTCCAGGGTTACATTCAATGGATCTTTAAACCACTTCAGGGATGTTAGGACTCCTAAGTCAATAGTTGGACACTTTCTATTCAGGTAAATTCCTTCAAATTTTTTTGCATTCATCAACTTATTATTGTTTGTTTACTTTTAGGTGCCTTTGAGATTTCCAGACCATCACCTGTAGATGTTTCTTAGAATGGATGAAGTATAGAGATGAATACTATTTATTATTGTATTTTTAACTGAATAAAGGGTATTATACAGAGTGAGCGCCAGGAGCATACCATTGTGAGGATACCATCTCATTACCTAACTACAATAAAAACCAACATTAATGGGCTGGTGTCTTTATGCTGGTAAGTTTTATCTTTATTCATAGATTTTAGACTATATATACCCTGTAAAATGAAAATGGTCAATTTTCATGTTACAGCATGTTTTTGAAATTCAAACAAATAGGCATATTTTCAGGGACTAATTCGAAAATAAAAAACTTCTTTTTCATTTTATTCGAAGCAAAACTCAACGCCTAAGTCGAATTACAAAATAAATTGCGTTATTTTAAATTTTTCCCATATGACGGGTATGCCAACTGTCTGAAAGGGACTGTATACCTTCATCTTATGAATTGTATTCTAGC